GTTATTTAAAGCCAGAAAATATTTTTAGAATTTTTTTTAAAGATTTATTCATGGTTTAGTGATACAAGCTTTACTAATTACCCCATAGCTGGAGGAAGAAGAGGTGGATTCCTACCTTCCCCAGCGGTATTTGCACACAAGCGTACATAACGAATCCAATAGGATTTACAACTCAGCTCTCCAATTAACAATTCTGAGCCATTATCCATTACACCACCTGCACATTGAAGCTTACAGCACCTGGTATTCCCAAGTGGTGACCCATCTAGGTTATGACCAGACTAAACGTTGCTTAACCGGTGATCAGACAAGAACTAGTGTTTCAATGTGATATGGCCATAAGTGCAGACAAAAGTAGGTAGTCAGCAAAAGTATACAGGTAGGTTGTGGACAACATTAGACAGGTAAACATTGTATAAGGGTCAAAGCTAGGTAGATTGTCATAAGATGGTACAGATTGTGAAAAGCAAGCATGTAGTAAAAGGTGAAAAGGGGGGCCAATAGGGAAGGCCAAAAGGGGGCAGAAAAGGAAGGTCAAAAGGGAAGGATAAAAAAGATAGGGTTAACTAAAAATGAATTGATTTCATTTCTTACTTTTCATATTATTAAACACTTGAAATCTTTTTCCTAAGAAATTCCATCAGAAACTTTGTGACCCAGTGAATGTGTGGGAAGATTAGGAATTTTATGTTTTCCTCCTACCTTCAGATATCTCTCTGCAGAAACATTCTCCTACAACCTCCATGATTCTTTGCCAGCCACAAAATGCCACATCTCTCCCCACACCCTGACATCTCCAAGACTTGCTTAGCATTTGCTCTTTATCCCTTCTGACAATTTAATTGATTTCAAATTCTAAAGGGTTACTTTAAATGGATTGTTGGAACTCTCAAGTAGTCTTCGTCAAATGCGCCTCAATAATGGACTAACATTTGTTTATAGCGAGATGGAATAAGACAGACAAAATCCGACAGAGATTGCTGGGAGTGACTACCATGGGAAATATTACAACTGACTGGTTTTTACATTTTCTTCCATTTTTTTTTTTCCAAAGTTTTATTTATTTATTTATTTAAATATGATCTCAGCATTCTTTTCCAACAAAAAATTTTAAAAATTATAATAACTGGTTGAAGACAATCATTGTGCCACAGTGGTTAGCAAGCAAAACTATTGTCATCTTAGTCCTGCATTATGGCAGTGAATATTGGACAATTTCATCATAGATGGAGGAGAGGCATGAGGCAATAGAAATACGCTTCTACAGAAGGATGCTGAGAATACCAGGGACCAAACATGTGAGCAATGACAAAAGTTTTAGAGAAAATAGAAACAAAAAGGTAACTCATGCATAAAATCAACAAGACAGTTGAAATTTTTAACAAGAAGATCGTGATGACCAGCAAAAAAAAAAAAAAAATTCCTGTTTGGTTATTTGGTTAGGTCATGAACTTCTGGATACTCCTGACTCATTTCCCAAAATCTGGCCAAATATAAGGATTTTATTAACACTCAAGTTAGCCTGAGAGTTTTCAGCATCCACTTGTGTATATCTGAAGTATGACCACTACAAGATATCCTTGTAAGACTCAACCATATCCATTCAAATTAAAACTATTTAAACTGGACAAGCATTTAAAGCCTCTGGCACAATGTTGACAGACTTGTGACAAATATTTTCCAGGTCATATATATATATATATATATATATATAAAAAAAGTGAACATTGAAGTCAACATTTAGAAGCGACAGTCTGTTTCATGCTAGATGCAATCATGGCCTGACGATTGCATCTAGCATGAAACAGACTGTCACCTCTAAGTGTTGACTTCAATGTTCACTTTTATATTTACACACACTCTATCTCTGATATTGAACATTTTATCCCATAAATATAGCATATAGCATACCTTAAGACTATATTTCTTATATATATATGTGTGTGTGTGTGTTTCTGTGTGTGTGTGTGTGGAGGCACAGTGAAGCAATGTATAGGGGGTTGGAGTGAGGAATTGCAGAGCTGAGATAGAATTCCTGTTGAGTTTATTACGTTCACTTAGGTGCTAATACTCTTAGGAAAGATATGAATTCATCATTTATTCCCCCAGCTATGGCTAAATAGCAGAACAGACTGAATTCTATAGCCTTGGATGGCAACTGGTCTAGGAGAAGGACAACTCTGAATTCAAAACCTGCAGAGGGTTGTTTGGGGACCTTATGGTATAATGTGCACCAGTTCTCTGTATTTGACTCTTCCAAAAAGTGTGGTTGGTTCTTCCATAAGCCTTCACTGCTATAACCAAATGATATGCATGGGTAGTCTGGCTGTTGTTTTCTAAGAAATGAGCTACTTGACCCCCACACGGTGATAAAACAATGGGAGAGTCCAGTAAGTATATATACACGCACACAGAGTATAGATATAGATATCAACCACTGATTTCACACTTCAAGTGAAGATCAGACCATTACAGTGTGAAAATGTCAGTCGCCATAAAATATTTATTTCTATGACCACACTGTATATATCTGCAAACATTCTATCCCCATTATTGAGTACTTCATAAATATAGCAGATTTTATACAAGGTACGATGGGTAAATTGTCAGCATTTTATATACAGTATAGTAGGGTCAGTTGGGCAGTGTCAGTGAGAAAAAGAGCACCATGACACAATTCAATCCACTTGAAGTTTGGAATTGGCATGGTGTACTGCTTGGTATTCAGCTCCAATACAAACATTTCAAAGTGTTTGGTTGTCAATCTGATGGCAGTGCAGACGATTCAGAAAGAGTTGGATGATATATTCAGTCAACGTCATGGTATTTGGAATGATCACTAGTGATGGCGATGTTATGCTCAAACTCAGCATGGAGGACGATATCAAATGCCTTGAGGAGATAATGCTGCCCTGGGTCAAGAAGGTAGCTGCTGGAAAAGCCTATGTCTGGTAACAGGACTCTGCACCATGCTACAAACGCAGGAGAACCCAGTCATGGCTGTCTCTGCGATCACATCACCCCTTAAATCTGGGCATCTAACTCCTAAGGAGCCAGGAACCTACCTACCTACCTAGGTAGGTAGTTCCTGGGTCTTTAAGATTATTTTATTTACCTTTGCTCTATTTAGCATATTGAGCATTCTATGTTTTATCTTAGTTACTCACTTGGAATTTTTTTTTCCTTTGAAATGGAAATTTAAGGCACTGGATGATATTTTTTGTCCTATTCAGATGTTTCTATTTCTTTTTTGTTTCCAAATTTTTCCTCGAATACCAATTTGTTTTGATATACTTGCAAATTGTGCCATCCAGGTTTTTTCACCAACCGGTATAATTATTTCTCTCTCTCTCTCTCTCTCTATATATATATATATATATATATATATATATATATATATATATATATATATATATATAGGTAACTATACTCATTTCGAAATATACTCGTTTCAAAAACCTTTTGAATTTTTGATTTGCCAATAATCAAATCAATCTCGAAGGAAAAAAAAGGTTTTAAAAAAAGAAAGAACCAGGAACATGAAAGTCTGTCGAAAAAATTGCACAGATACAGGTTCAAAGCCCAAAGAAAAAAACCCCGACACGAGTAAACAACTAACTAACTAAAAGAGCTCAATACAACCGTAGAGCAGACCTAGACAAACCTAGTGAGCCAGACAAACCCACCAAGGTTTCACCTAAGCGGATCATCAGGGAAAGTTTTCCCTGACGATCCGCTTAGGTAAAACCTGGGTAGGTTTGTCTGGCTCACTAGGTTTATATATTTGTGTGTGTGTATTGGGGCAGCAGTTAATTATTCAAACATATATTGTTAAATATAACAGACAACAAATGTCTATTACATTTGATCATGAGCTGTTCTAACCTCCATATAGTGGTTTTAGTTTTTCGGGAGAAAATAAAGACAACATTTGGATATTTTTTTATTATGCTGTTCCTCGATCTAAGCTTTCAGCTGACATGAGCCATCATCAGGAGTGGCTATATGACACATAACAGACATTTGTTGTCTGTTATATTTAACAATATATGTTTGAATATTAAAGTGAATATTGAAGTCAACACTCAGGCAACAGGCTGTTTCATGATAGATGCAATCGTCAGGTAGTCTGTAAATGGTACTGTAATTAGACTTTGTATTTAATTTTCTTTTCTGTTTTCTGTATGTTTGAATATATATATATATATATATATATATATATAATTGTCTATTTGGCCAGCAATCCTACTTTTATACAAGTTTCATTGAAGACAGCTGAAACGGTACTGTAATTAGACTTTGTATTTAATTTTTCCTGTACTTCTATAAGTGTTTTCTTTTCTGTATGTTTGAATATATATATATATATATATATATATATATATGTGTGTGTGTGTGTGTGTGTGTGTGTCTGTATATAATCATTTAGACAAATATTTATATTTTAATGAACTAAAATAAATACATTACCATATTCTCTGACATATAGTACATATGATGTTTAATTTTAGAAGCATCTTGTACAAACCTGCATCTTCAAGCAGGGTGATATTTTTAAATAAAATTTTAGATAAAAATATGTACAGAATATATTGCAACAAATAAAGTAAAAAAAAAAAAAAAAATTCCACCATTTTCGTCAATCACTTTTTGCATTCCTCAAGCAATGTTGCTAAATACAGACTCAAACAAGCACATTAATTGTAAAAATTTTAAAAACTGAGTGTGGATTACCCACATTATATCAGCCCCACTGTCAAGAGTAAACAGTACAGATGAAAAACTGGGAATGTAGACTTTTTATCTCATTGCTGACATTAATTGGCTGTCTAAAAAGATCTCACTAAAAAAAACATATTAAAGTCACATTAGCTTGTTTTCCCATCCCAAAGGAAAACTGTTTGAAGTAACCTGTCTTCTACAGAAATGAAAAAAACAAACAAACATTTAAGCAGACATATCATTTCTGCTGACTCCAAAGATAAAAAAGCAAAACTTACTTATCAAGTTCTTTCCAAGTTTGGTCAATTTCTGATACTTCCATCTTTTCTTTGGTTGCAACCTTCTCACTGCCACGTTTGGGTGATGTGATTGTCTTAGAGTCTTCAGTTGGCTTTTTGCAGTCAAGTAAACATTCAAGAACTTTGCCGTGCATCGGGGAAGTGTCTGAGTGGAATCGAATAAGAGTTTCCAGCTCATTCCAGAACTGGCGATACTGTTCCTCTCTGCAAGAACAATGTTAAGGAAAATGAAAAAAAGGAAGTTTAACAAAATAAAAAAAAATAATAATATAAATGGGGACAATGATAATGTTCACTTTTACTCTTAACGAAGGGTTTCTCCAAGGCTCCATCCTAGGCCCCACTCTATTCCTTATCTTCATCAACACCTACATCATAGATTCCCAAGTAGGCATCTAAAAAGACAAATCTACAATTTACTCCTTCAAAAAAATTAATGTCATTGACAAAATTAATCTTCATCTCAAAAAAAAGGACCTCCAATCGGTTGTGAACTGGGGCAGGAATTGGCTGGTTAACTTTAACGCCTCAAAAACAAAACTGCTCTAATTACCAAAGAAAAAAGTTATCAGCATTAAATAATCTATTGATAACCAAACTTTTAAACAATTCTGTCCTTCACTGTATATATTTTTTTGTTTTTTGCAAGGAACTTTTACCTTTCTGGTAAAAAAAATATAAAAGGATCAAGTGTCTAAAATGCACCTTATAATCTTTCATTTTCATAGCGTTGCAAAATTGACACAAATTAAGTAATTTTAAACTTTGTTTCTCAAGAAATAGTTTGAAGTCTGCTCTAATTGTAAATGTGAGCATATTATATCTGTCAAATTTGACGTGTTCTAATGTGTTGGAACATGAACAGCTTACAATCAGCATGAACTTTCCAGACAACCCATTATATATATATATATATATATATATATATATATATATATATATATATATAGTCATTCTGTTTCACTGTATCACAGCTTATCAGTGTGACTAGACATTTGATTGCTACAAGCTGGGATTGAAACTCGACTGATTTGACACCAGTCAGAGACTCTTACCCCAAGGTTATCAGTGCACAGCAGACAGAAAGGAAATTTTTAACGCATTATATACATGCTATATAAATGCCATATTGGTCACCATAACGCTCAGTTCTTACAAAGAGTGATGCATTAAAGCAGCAGCCATTAAAAATTCCCTTTTCTCTATAGTGCTCAATCGGTAAATGAGAGCATAGTAATAATAATACAAACCAATAAGATCCATCAAAATATGGAGAAATTACTAGAATTTTATTTAAGGTGAGAAGAATCTTTACCAAGAACATGCTCAATAGAGTGATAATGGCCAGTAGGACCCTGGTGAGTATTGTTCTGAAAAACTTTGAAGTCAGCCATGACATAAGTCAGTTGAACTTTTATTAGTTAATGACTATTTTCAATATTTATGGAAAAAATAAACTCTGGTAGTAGTAATTAAACTCAGAGCTTTTCATTTTATGTAACAAATACTTTCCCCTGATAACCTGCTGTTTTCAAACATTGTACAGATGCTGGCTCTTGTAGTCATACCTAGGATTGAACTCACCATCCTTGACTAACAAATTTCTAAAGATATTAGATGCCTACTCCTTAGCTTAATGGATGTGTTCCAAGCAGTAGCAGTAGCTTGTCTCCCATCCTGCCAAAGTGGATTTAACCTTTAGGCATTGTTTATTGAAATTTCTCCTCAGGAAACATTTTTCTATTTGGTTGGTGAAGTGCTGTCACTCAGTTTATTGAGCAAGATCCTATTTTAACATGATGCTCTGGCAGTTTTCATCATGAGCTAAAAACTTTTTACACTTTTATAATGCTTTTTACCTCAGCTTCAGGGTTAACTAATTGCACATAGCTGGGACCCTAACAGGTACTACCACCCTGCATCAGGGTGGACCTGGAAACACCAGCAATTAAGAGGTGGTTCCACGCTCCTCAAATCCTCCTGATCAGAGGCCTTGCTGTTGGACGTAGTTTATTGTCTTACCCTGGATGTGGATGTAGTTTATTGTCATACCCAAGATGATGTTTGGAAGTGGTTCACTAAGTTTAGATTTGGTGATTGTAGCCTTATTGATGAAGAATGCTCAGATGATGACTAAATCAAGACATTGATCAAGAATAACCTGCATTACACAACATGGGGATTGGCAGAAACACTAAATTTATCAAAATCCACCATCCATGAGCACTTACTGAAGCTTGGGTACTACATGATCTGAAGGAAAAGAATATTTTGGATCACATTTCATGTGTGATTTTCTGTATAAATGCAATGAAAATTCACCCTTTTTGAAGCAAATTGTGATTGTTGATGAGAAATGGATTGTTTACAACAATGTTCAGTGAAAAAGATCCTGGGTTAAGTGATATAAGCCAACTTTAGATACCTCAAAAGAAGACCTGGTGGGATTGGAAAGGAATCCTGTACTATGAGCTTCTGCCAAGTAACCAGTCAATTGATTCTGAAAAGTTCTGCTCACAACAAGACAAATTAAAGGCAGCAAGTCAAGAAAAATGCACAGTATTGGCGAACAGGAAAGGTGTTGACTTTATATTATTTTTTTCTCTGTTCTTTTCTTTTTCTTGTTATTGCTTATTACGAACTTTGTCAATTCTGTTTGTTGAACAGTTCTATTACTTATTTTGCATTTGACTATGGCTACTCACTCCACAATATTTTAATATTTTTTAAATTTCCTTTATTTATTAAATTATTTTATTTTAAAAAAACAAAAGAAATCTTACTTTTAGAAAGTAAGATTACATTTTTTTTTACATTTTCTTTAAAACACTGATATCCTTTTCTGTTTGGCAAGACATATATACTTTCTTATATTTATAAACACAATGACTAAAAAATACTTCATTGATCATAACATTGCTTATACGTGGGGATTTTCAAAATTTGAATTAAAAATAAATAACACAAAGGAAATCTTACTTATTATAAAATGCAGATTGTGTGTGTGTGTCTGTACGTTTATATATTGGATCGGATTTCCTACATTTTTCAACCGATTTCAACAAAACTTCACAGGACTACATAAAATTACCTTGCGGTGGTTCTGACAGTGCCAAAAATTGGAAAAACACAATTCTTTTTGCACAAAATCAATTTGAAAACACGATTCTGTCGCCAGAATGAAAGGGGTACAACTCATATCAAGTTATACTTATTATAAAAACCCAGGTTGTTTGTGTGTGTGTGTGTGTGTGTGTTCGTTTATATATGGGATTGGATTTCCTACATTTTTCAACCGATTTCAACAAAACTTCATTTTTTTTTTTTTGGCAGGTAGTGTTCCTTATTGTTGTCTTGCACACTTTTTACTTTATTTTTACATTCAGAATGCTTTAAAAATTCCATTTACAAGACAATTGTTTATAATAAAATTCTATTCAACTGATAGACTCATAACAATTGAAAACAATGTTTTTGTTTGAGTTTGACCAATTTGTAAAAAAAAAAAAAAAAATTTAAGACATGCGTGTCCGTCAACCTTAAACAATAATCTTTGTCAATTTATTTTTCAGTTTTTATGATGGTCAATACTTGGTCTATCTCTTACTGTTACATCCCCGGGCAACGCCGGGCTCTACTGCTAGTATTTATTAAAATATGCTTTTAATAATTGTTATACAAATTGAATGTTTTAAATGAAATTTGTTAGTAATAATATACAAAAGGCTGATATGAAATTCATTCTCTAATGATATTGGGCTATTATGTTCTATTTTATGTAAGAAGTGGATGGACACAGAAACAAGATTTAACCTTTTATGCAAATTTATAAAGATTATCCATTATCTACATTATTTAGACTATTGTCCTCATCTTTGTCTTTACCCTACAATGTAACAACTACCCTGGGCAGCAGCCTCCAAAGACTGGGATAGGTGGGTACAAGAGGAAGAGAACAACAACACTCAGAAAACAGTCTGCCTGCCTTATGTGAAGGGGCTATCAGAGAAAATACAAAGGATCTGCGGTCCATATAACATCAGGACAACCTTCAAAAGCTTGACGACACTTCGCAGATATCTCTCTCGAGTGAGACCCCCCCCCATGACTAAAAACTGTGTGTATGCTATCCCATGCAGCTGCCAAAAGAAATATAAAGGTCACCCCCTCAAGGTAAGGCTTCAAGAACACCAGAAAGCTGTAACATGAGGGGAAGTGGAAAAATCAGGTGTGGCTGACCACATATGGAGAGAGAAGGGAGATCACCGCCCTCTGTGGGATCAGGTTGAGATCATAGACAAGGAACAACATTGGAAAATTTGTAAACTTAAGGAATCAGCACATATGCTAGGCCACAAAAATCTCCTGAGCCGACCAAGAATAGAAATAAATACAACATGGGAACCAGTAATAAGGAGTGCCAGAGAAAAGCGATAATAACAACAAAGTTGCAATATGAGCTCTGGTAAAAACATGCAATGATAACAGCAAAAATTGCAACATGAGCACTGGTAAAAATGGTGGCTGAAGACATTAGGTTTATAATACCCAGAAATTCATATACAGATATCTTCAAGGACACATGTGGATAAAGGTATTGGTTAGATCCAGTGACAGAACCCAAAGAGTGGGAGTTCAATACCCGGTTAAGGCAGTGGAGACCATTAACAGGAGATAACTGATAACTGACATCCATTAAACATGGCACGTGGAACTAGAACAGTCTACCCCAGTGAGCGAAATAAAGGGTTCAGTTCGACATTCCAACCACCTGAAGAAGGCCGGAGCATACAATGGCCAAAACGTTGTAATAAATACGGCGACAAAGATGAGGACAACAGTCCGAATAATGTACATAATACCTCATCTCAGAAATATAGACAGATTATCATTTTAGCTGTCATGCTCCCCAGTGCTCAAAGTGTTTAAAATTTCCTGATGATTACCCAAATTGATGATTCAATTTGGAGTAATCATCAGGAAATTCTAAACAGAACCCTTTATTTAATCTATGGGAGTAGGTAGTTCTTGTTCCACTGTCCATGTCTAGGGATATCTTGCCTTGTTCTTCTCTAGTATACTGTTCAGTTACTGCTGGTTTCAACCCAGGGATTAAACTCACAATCTCTATGTCACCGAATTCACAAACAAACAATTTAATCCACTAACCTAATGGCTCTGAAGGTTACCCAGACTGGCAAACA